GGTTAATGGGCTGCAGCACCACGAGAGGACAGGTTAAAGCTGTTGTGTGTGGCCTCCCTCGTGGTGCAAGGGGTTAAATCTCAGCACTGTGAAGCAATCCGCAGCTACCGCAGCACGAGTTTGATCCCCAGCTAGGGAGCTAACCCACATGGCAAAGCAGATCTCTCCTGTCTCCTGTCTCAGCAGTATATTTCAATCAGTCCACCTGTTCTGCTGCTCACTTTGTCTCTGGTGATCTTCTCACCCACCACCCACACCTCTGGCCTACACCCCAGCTCTTGTATGCATAAATAAATCTTTAAAGAAAAAAAACAAAACTGCTGTGTGGTCCCGAGAGTCCAGCCCCAGAGCCATGACGGTGAGAGGACCTAATCGTTTGGATGTCTGAGCCATAGTCATGGTTTGTGAGTGTGTGTGTTGGATTCCACAGAAAAGGAGCCCTCGCTTCTGGGAAAGGTGCTGCTGGAGGATGAGGTTTTGGCAGCCATGGTGTCTGTCGTTGGCACTGCCACCACACACTTGAGCCCTGCGTGAGTATACCCACGGATGTGGCTTGGTCCCAGGGGAAGGGTCGCATAGTTGGTAAAAGCAGCAGACAGCTGCCTCTGAGCTGTCCTTCTACCCAGATTTAAATGTGGAGGCAACTATTTCTTTTATAAGTTTAGCTGGCAAAATAAGGTGTTTTTTTTTAGCACCAGGGACTATGGGACTATGGGCTGCAGACGTATTGAGAATCACCTATGAAGCATTTTTCAAATCCACGCTGGGTTCTCTCACTAGTAAGCTCCAGAAGAATAGGAATTTGATGTGTCTGTTCATTGATGTATTTACACTAGGGCTGACAGGATGGTTCCTGTAATCTGTTCTGAATTAAGATTTGTTGGATGTGTGAATGTTTATGCCCTGGCTCATTGATTCCATGACTGTAACATGAATCCCAAGGCTGCTTTAGAACCCTGGCTCCTTGGTGATACCTAATGCTCTACCCTCAGCTTAGCTGCCCAGAGCGTCACTCACATTGTGCCCCTCTTCTTGGATGGCGACATCTCCTTTCTGCCTGAAAACAGTTTCCCCTGCAGATTCCAGCCATTCCAGGTAAGGGTCTGATGGATCAAATGGGGAGATTCTTGGGACTTCAGTCATTCAAAATTACTTTTTAGGTTACTCTAGGATGGGGATTGGGGCTGACCAGGCTGTAGCTGGCAGGACAGGCTTGATAGGGCTCTTTTTCATTTCTAGGATGGCTCCTCAGGGCAGAGACGGCTGGTTGCACTGCTTATGGCCTTTGTCTGCTCCCTGCCTCGAAATGTGAGTGAGCACATTTGGGGGAGTACCCTATTTAACTGGTTCCCTGGTGACTTCTGGGCTGGAATTTGTTCCAGGCTGAGCTCATCATCTGTTTTCCCCACTGGAGAAGTTTTCATTCAGCCTGGCCCCTGCTGCCACTTCTGGGTATCTGTTGGCGTTCAAGTGTTCTCTGGGTCCATTACATAGCCAGGTCTTCTGTAGGTGGAAATCCCTCAGCTGAACCAACTCATGCGGGAGCTTTTAGAGCTGAGCTGCTGCCCCAGCTGCCCCTTCTCCTCCACTGCCGCTGCCAAGTGCTTTGCAGGACTCCTCAACAAGCACCCTGCAGGTACTGGGGTGAGGCTGTGGGTCGGGAGCTTCCCTGAACCAGCTACCAGTAACTCCTGAATGCACTCTCATTCTCTTCCAAAAAGGAGCTTGCTAATAATAGGATAGAGTTCTCAGGGGACAGCACTTGGGACAAGAGTCAAGACCTGAATTGGGTGAAGCTTTACAGGACCCGTGAAGATAAGGGGGTACAAGCAGTGTTGTCTAGTTTTGTTATCCTACTCCCTAAAGGAGCGATTATGAATAAATCTTTATTAGAAGTAGACAACTTTTTCTTTTTGAATGCCAGCACTCCTGTGTTATGAGAAAACCATGCTCACAGACTGGTGTGGTAGAGCTGAGTGAGCAAAGTCCACAGCCAAAACGACACTGTTCTTTTCTAACAGCTGCCCAGGGACCTCTGCATTTCAGTGATTTACACCTTTGTTGTTAAAAGAGAAATAGGGCACCTTTGTATCAGCATTTCCCCTCTCCTTTTTAGGGCAACAGCTGGATGAATTCCTACAGCTGGCTGTGGACAAAGTGGAGGCAGGTCTGAGCTCTGGATCCTGTCGTCACCAGGCCTTTATATTGCTGCTCTGGGTAAGGAGCAAGAATGGATTCTGGTTAGACAGACAGTTAATGTCTGGTTAAAATAAAATTTGTCCAATTGACCTGGGATCACAAGCATGCGTCTCGGGTTCTGGGGCTGGACCGGCATGCCCTGACTGTTCTCATTCTCTCCAATTACAGGTAACAAAGGCCCTAGTACTCAGATACCATCCTCTCAGCTCCTGCCTTACAAACCAGGTAGGTCCTTTCTGGAGACAGGAGAACCCAAGACCTATCAGAACTTCCCTGTTGAATTCTATTTCTCCCACAAACAACAGCCATCCTCCTCTTTTGGGTATTTAAGGTTTTTCTCCCTGATGTACTTTAAAGACTCTCTTTTCTCCAGCTCATGGGTCTCCTGAAAGATCCAGAACTAGGCCCAGTAGCAGCAGATGGCTTCTCTCTGCTCATGTCTGACTGCACTGATGTGTTGACTCGTGCTGGCCATGCTGAAGTGCGGATCATGTTCCGCCAGCGTTTCTTCACGGACAACGTGCCTGCTTTGGTTCAAGGCTTCCATGCTGCTCCCCAAGGTGAGGGGAGTCTAAAAGTAAGGCCCCAGATAAACAGACCTCTCCTTTGCTCGGGCCACTCTGCCTAAAAGAAGTTAAGGAAGGACCCGAATGTTTCTTTAAAACTATACTGTGGGGCCTCTCTGGTGGCGCAAGGGGTTAAGCACCACACTATGAAGCAATCTGCAGCCTCTGCAGCACGAGTTCAATCCCCAGCTGGCCAGGGAGCAACCCACATGGCGCAGCAGACTCTCCTGACTCACCCACTGCTCCCCTCAGCAGTGTACTTTGGTCAATCTGACTGTTCTTTTTTATTTATTTATTTTTCAATCTGACTGTTCTGTTCCCCACTCTGTCTCTGGTGAGTCCTCTCACCCCCCGCATCTCTGGCCTGTACCCCAGCTCTTGTATGCATAAATAATCTTAAAAAAAAAAAAAACAAAAAAACTATACTGTGGTAAGCACCTGAAGGGCTGAACTTCCAGATTGTTGACCTACTCTTTTCCCTCAGTGGACATATATCTCACTTATTCTGGGCTTCAGGAACATTTCTTTTTAACCCCTTTGTAGGCTGATATCCCAGCTTTATCAGAAATTGGAGTTGAATTCTCACACTGTGTATCTGAGCTTTTTTTCCCCTAAGCTTTTCCATTTTTTACAGATGTAAAGCCCAATTACCTGAAGGGTCTCTCTCATGTACTTAACAGACTACCTAAGCCTGTGCTCTTGCCAGAGCTGCCCACGGTAAGCCTTGCAGTTAGAGCCTCTAAGCAGGAACCAAGCCGCTGTCCCCCAGCTGGGATAAGGGCTACAAAGGGGAGAAGAATGCCTATCTCATCATCCCCACCTTTTGTGACCCCTCAGCTGCTTTCCTTGCTGCTGGAGGCCCTGTCCTGTCCTGACAGTGTGGTACAGCTCTCCACCCTCAGCTGCCTTCAGCCTCTTCTACTGGAAGCGCCCCAAGTCATGAGTCTTCATGTTGATACCCTTGTCACCAGGTTTCTGAACCTCAGCTCTAGCCCCTCCATGGTGCGTTGAGCCCTAGCAACTTGGGTACCTGCGGGTCTCCTTCGCAGAACTCCCCTCACCTCCTTGCTGTGTTTTAGGCTGTCCGAATCGCGGCGCTGCAGTGCATGCACGCTCTCACGCGTCTGCCCACCCCCGTGGTGAGTATCTCGGTTGCCTGTCTCTGGCCTGAAACTTCTCAAAAAAGCCAAAGGGTTACCTGTTTTTCCTTAGTCAAGTGGGACTGACCACCCAGCTATGTGGCTGAGGTCTGACCTGCAGGGTACCAGTAGGCAGGATTTGCCTGACTACCAATGTAGCCATCCTGGCATTGTCACTAGAATCACTAAGGAAGAGGGCGAAGTTTAGTTGTAGAGCCGGAGTAGTGGCTCTTCTGGTTGCCGTGGTTGAGCAAGGCTAAGATCAGTTCCTCTAACTCCGCAGCTGCTGCCGTACAAACCACAGGTGATCCGGGCCTTAGCCAAACCCCTGGATGACAAGAAGAGGCTAGTACGCAAGGAAGCAGTGTCCGCCAGGGGCGAATGGTGAGTTTCTAGGTCATGGGGAGAAATGGGATTGAAAAGACCTTCAACACTAATGCTGCCAACATTCTTTTTGCTGCAGGTTTCTGCTAGGGAGCCCTGGCAGCTGAGCTGTTGGTCCTGGCTGAGACTGCCCTGACAGACAATCTGATCCGGAATTACTAATGAACGAGCCCCCTTGTCCAAGGCAGGGAGAACACTGACCTCTGGTTGCCTTTCCCACAGACACTGCACAAGTGCTGGGCCCCTGATGCATGGCTGTGCAAGAAACACAGGAGTCCTGATTTCTAATGGATCTGTGCAGTTACTAAGTGTGAGACTACTGTGTCTGAAGAAAGATCTTGGTCATGGGCTCTTCCACTTCATGTCAGGAAAGGGAGGTGTGCTGCTGAGGATGAATGCAGATGAGTGTGGCCCTGAGGACCAGAGATGGCGAGTGTTTGTGTACCTGCTAGAGAATAAAGATTTTTTTTTGGTAATGGGACTGTCAAATATCTCTGCCTTTGCACTTAGGTCTCAGTAGCTCATAATCAGGAGTGTCACTACTAAAGCAACTAAGCTAGAAGAACAGTGATGCAGGGCTTAGCAAAGAATTCTTCGGGGCCTCCAAGTTGGGCATGGGGTAGCATCACCAGAATGCCTGTTCACCAGGCACTGACCCAGACTTCCCGTTCCCCACCCTAGGGTGAAGGCAAAGGATGATCAGCTATGTATCTTTAAAAACCAAATACCTTTATTTTTGCTCCCTTCAGCAGCACATGAGAAGTGGCAGTGACCTCAGCAGTAGGCCCGGTGTCTTTGCCCTGTTGAGAAGCCAGGATCTCAGCTCAGTCATTCAGGTGTTTTCTCAGACAGCAAGTGAAAGAGGTGGTAGCCAACCCCAGTGCTGTAACCTGGAGGAGGTGGGGTCAGCACCGGGCAAGGTTGCTAGCTGCCTAATCTCCAGTCTGGGGCTGGAACTTCTGTTTGCCTGAGTAAAGGGACATCAGTCCTAGAGTGATTCCACATCATGCCTTGCTTCTGCAGTGGCCGGGAAATTGGTCCTTGAGTTTCCCTGCACATTACCCAAAGGCAAGGTCCACTGGCTCTTCTTGCTCAAAGATTCCAAGAAGCTACCCTTGGAGGTCCTTGAGACAAAGCAGGAAGCAGAGTGATGTTCAAGTTGTGGTTGACACTCCAGTTCACACTGCCATCACAGAGGCTGAGTGAGCAGTCACCCAGGGGGGAGGGTCCCAGCTCATTCCATTCCCATGGGGCAAGTGACTGGAAGGTAAAAGCACCCGAGTGAGCCAGTGCCTACAAGAGAAGACAGAAATGTCTCTTGAGTTCCAAGAGTTAGTTCTTGGTCCTTCCTGATCCTCATTCCTTAGCAAGGACACATCAAGGTAGCTGAAGTTACCTTGGCATTAATCACAAAGGTAATAAAAAAAAAATTTCTAACTTTGTCCAACAAATGTGCCTGCTAGTGCCTTGAAAATCTTACAGGTTTTGAGCTAAGTGTACCAAGAACAGGAAAGGAAGGAAGAGGGCAGTACTTTTGGTCCGCATGTTGCTGCCCTCTTACAATCTGAAGAATTATTTACACTGGGTCTCCCGGGCTAGCTTCATTTATTATCTTAGGGCCTCTGTCACAGATTACTTCAGTTCCACATGGGACTGGCTGGAACTCCACACACTGCTATACAAATGGAAGGTGACAGCCGGCTCCCATACCCTTCCTAGAGGACGTTCTCAAGATTCTCGTGAAGTTGTCTATAAACCTCATCTGGTATTAATCCACACGGTTTTGGCCTAAACCCCTTTGTTCAAATGAGCAATGATTTGTATTCCTAGAGTCTAGAACTGCACTGTCCAATATAATGGCCACTAGCCACCAGCCTATTTAAGTTAGTGAAACTAAAATTAAAAATTCAATTCATGGGTGCTTTAGCCACATCCCAAGTGTGCAGGAGCCACATGTGGCTAATGTCTTAGCATAGGCAGAGGACATTTTTCCCACAGACCCTAGTCTAGATGTTTTACTTTACCTTCCTGTGTCCACGCCCAGGAATACCTTCCAGTTATCCAAGCAGCCATAGTTGTAATGATTCTTGAAAACCTAAAGCCAAAAAAAACATGTTCTATAAAGCCCTTTTACTTAATCCCCTTTTCATTTTCAAGTTTGAACTGGTAACAGCTTGGAAAGTCTAGGCCTTTTATAATGGCCCTGACCAAGGCCCCTGTTTAGAGCTGGCAGATTCCGTTCCCACCCCCCCCCCCCCAAGCCCTCAGCCCTACTCACTCTGCCCTTGGCCTGCAGACGTCGTCTCTCCTTCCTGTTGATGTGCCTTTCAATACTAGTCTCACCTCGACTGATGAGAACAGCATGCCATATAGTCAGGGCCCCCAGGGCAAGTGCTACGGAACTAAGGAAAGAGGGGCAAAGGTTGGTGGGCAGCTTAAGACGGATTTGGAGGCTACCAGCAGGTCTGACATTGAGTTGAGTAGTAATGACTGACTAGGTCTCATTTCCCAGTCTACATCCTAGATGAACTTGTACTTCACCCCATCTATAAAAAGCACCACAGAAAAAGCATCACCATGGACTAAGAATAAATCATGTGACAAAGAGAGTGAGGAAGTAAGTCTGAATTACTAATAAAAACATTCTGAATTTCCTAAAACACCCATGTTTAAAAGGTAGAAGGCACTAGGGACTAGAAGGGGATGGCACAAAATTCAGATTCCAGCCCTACCCTTCCCAGCTGTGTATCCTGGAACAAATCACTTCACTCTTCTAATTCCCAGCTTTCCTCATCCATAAAATACAGCCACCTACCCTTTAGCAAAGAGTTAACATACTCTGGTACATAAACATTCAATGCTAATATCCTTAGTTTTCCTTGACCCAAAATGCAGAAGAAAATTAAGCCCTGACCCTTTGCCAACCTAAATGAGACTAAGAACAACAGCAGTTCACATGAGGATGGGTTCCTACCTGCAGGTGGGCACTAAAATGGTTTTTCTGAAGTTGCCCCTCAACTTGAGAGTAAGGGGCCTCCCCTGGTGGCGCAGTGGTTGAGCGCTGGGCTGCGAGGCAGCTGGCAGGCACTGCAGCGCCGGTTTGTTCCCCGGCCACCGGTGAGGGTCCCACAAAAAAAGTAAGTAAGAGCAAGATACCTGCACAGGAACCAGAGGTAGACAAGGCTCTTGTGAGTCACCCTTTCTCGGAAGGAGAAGGTGGGCGGTGGGGTCTGGTGATAAGTCTAGAAAAGAAAACAGCATGTCTGGTTCATTTGCTCTGCTGGTCTCTACCTGAGTCCCCAGCACCTTCAGGCAGGGAAGTGACCCAAGCCCAGGACAAGAGAATAGGGTGTAAAGCCACAGAGGAGTCAGGGCAGCAGCCAGATGGGTGGACCAAGCCCAGCGGCGGCATCATGTGGACAAACACTGGGCAGAGCAGGTCTGGACAGGATGGCAAAGCACAAAAGGAACCGACCCTGGGCCTTGAGGTTTGACAACACAAATGGGGCTCCAGGGGAAGCTACTCCACTCCCCAGCGAGAACTCGTTCACTGTGTGGCTGCCAACACTGAGGAGAGCAGATACGCACCCCAAATGGAGTAAGGGGGGGTAGAACTCTGAGCTCCACTAAAGACCCAAAGGCCAGCAGACGTACAATCGTGAACCCAAGATCTGCTCAGAATAGAGTCCTGAGAGCCCCAGGGAGAAGGAACGATCCTGATACAGACCCAGAGCGAAGGATGATCAGACTGGCCCAGCCTGATCTCTGTCCCCTGGAACCCCATTACACAGACTAACATAGACTCCTTGCTGCTCAGGCCATCACCTAGGCAGAGTCCTTGCTCAGCCCAAAGGAGGTGATCATGGGATAGAGCTGAAAACAGCAAGGAATTTCAGCTTGTCCCCAGGTCACTTGTGTACCAAAGGCAGACAGCCTCCCAGAACGCTCCTGATCTGGTCTGCAACTCAACCAGCAGGTCAGCCCCAGTTGCCTCAGCAACTACACCCCTGGCCTGAGCAGCAGGAGGCAGTGGGGTGCGGACGGCCCACCTGATTGGCAACCGCCTGTAGTTTGTTCTTGTCGAGTTGTTTCATTTTCTAAGGGGAGGGAAAACAGTGCTGGTTATACTCTCCGGCCTCTAGGATAGGGGGCAACTCCTTAGAGACAGATTCCACATCCACACTTCTCTCTGAGTTGCCCTGCTCCTGGCCATGGGCTCACCTCGATGGCAGCATAAGCCTCCCGGAAAAGGTCCCAACTGCCGTAGCTGCAGTATACACAGCCCAGGGTCATGAAAAAGCAGAAAGAGAAGAAGTACCGATGGTTATAGTGGCCCACACAGTTGTTTAGCCAGGCTGGCAGAGGAAGGATTAAGGACAAGATCCAACACAACTTCAGAAGGTCTGACCCTCGGTTATGATGGTATCATCCAAGGCCAGGGCTGCCAGTCACCAAGAACTATTTTCTAAAAGCAAGAAAATATGAGACTGTTCCCAGAGGTTGAGATGAAAGCGTTATACGTTTCTCAGAGTCCTTAGAAGTCCCGCCAGGAAATCATGAAAATTCTGAACTCCTTCAGGAAAATTAATCTGCCACTATTTCAACCTAGCTGGGTTAGCCAGACATCTGTGTGGGACAGCAGAAGGGGACCAGTGGTTCCATCTGCTGTACCCAGTAAATAACCACTGAAGCCCAAACATCTCCTTCCATCCAATAGACATCAGCAGGACAGTCTACCAAAGCAAGAGCTAATAGAACAGGTGCCTGGCTCCAAGAAGACCCATCCCAGAGAACAAGCAAGCCTCCTGCTTCCCCCAGGAGATGGTCCGCACAACTCCTCCTAACATCTGGCGAGCCCCTGTTCTCTGCAGGGGGATGCTAGAAGCCTTGGGTGTATGGCTCTCAACCAACCCTGTGCAGTGCTCTGGAGCTAAAGAAGGAGCCTCAGGCAGGAGAGATAACAAAAGGATACGGCAGTGATGATCCATCTTCAGCACACACCTGTGAGGGAGGGACACAGGCTCTGTTACGGTGGCCAAGGTTCTTGAGATGTCAGTGCCAATCCTTTCCTACAAGGACCAGCATCCTGCTGAGGTGGAAAGGGCACAGACTTTGAAGACAGCCAGGCCTTGCTGCAAACCCTGCTCTACCGGCTATGTGACAGTGGACAAGGTAACTCATCTCTCAGAACCTAGGTTTCCACAAGTGGTGATAGTGTCTCACTCATAGGACCATCCTGAGGACCAAGAGTCACAATACAGAGGGTACCTCGCCTGGCCTGGTTCAAGAAGGGCACTTCATAAATGTCTGATCAAACTCTACGTCTAGACTTTGCCCTAGAGCTAGAGTGAAAGGGCCATAGCTGGGGTTCACAGAGAGCAAAGCCAAACCCACCTGTTGCAGATGCTGCAGTGGTGTGTCCGGGCTGGTTTGGGGTAAATGCACTTCTTACAGATGGAGACTGTTGCAATATCGTTCCTGCCCTGTGTAAAGGGAGAAAAGAATCACGACAACTGTGGCAGCACTAGTTTTGTGCCCCAAAAGATACCAAAGGCACTCTCCCTCCCCACTCTTGGGATGGTTCTCACAGCCTATGGCTTCCCCGCCCTCCTGCCCCCATGGAACATACCTGGGGTGGGTATCCAGGTGGAGTGGTGATGGCCTGGTAGTAATGGAAGACGATGAGGGTCAGGTTCCAGTGACTATAGAAGAAATGCCAGCAGAGTCGTGGCACTGAGTAGGTTTGGAGTATGAGGGGCAGGACGCACAGGTAGGCAATGGCCACGATGGAGCTGGTCAGCACGATCACCAGCACCACGAACACCTGCCAACACCAGTGAGGTCAGGAAGGCACAACGGGAGCTCACCAGCACCCTGAGCAGACTCAGGAAGTTCCCTGGGATCGGGGGCTGGACTCCCAAGCTTGTTATGACTCCATCAACACATGTCCCTCTGCCACCCCCAAACACCTTCCTGCTCCCTGGGCGTCACTCACCACCCCACACCAGCGGATCACGTTGTCCACCAGCCAGTAGACAGGCTCAAAGGCAGCATCGACGGCGGTGTCACTGCCCCCAAAGGAGTTGTAGAGCAGGGAGCGCAGGCAGACCTTGCCATAGCGCCATCGCTGTACCAGGCCCCGGAACAGAGGTGGGCAGCGGCGCCTGTAGCCCAGGAGCAGAAGCAGGCGCAGACAGAGGCGGGCAGGGCCCAGCAGCAGGCTCCGCTGGCTCCGCATGGCTCCTGGGAGAGCACACCATTGTGAGGGGCCAGCCTGAGGCCGTCCCTCCCTATCCCATCAGTGGGGAAGCCTGGAGCACCAGATTAAAGACAAAGACCTAAAACAGGCTCAGTCACTAGCTGTGGAAAGCAGGAAGGCGACTTCACTTCTCCATGGAGTGTGCAGTGCCAGGATCCCAACCAGAATATGGCGGGTAGGAGGCATGAAGGTTCAGAGTCTGCAGAAATCCTACTTACATCACACTACGTGGTTGCGCAGCAAATCCAAGATGATGCAAACCTAGAGTAAAGGACCACAGAAAAGGGGTGAAGGAGAGGGAGGCAGCTCTGAGCCAAAGCAGGGTCTTTGGAGTTGTCTATGTAGACAAACCCTTGGGTGGCGCACAGCCAATGTGCACAGAGCTGCCCCCACCCGTCTCTGTGGGTCTGGCCACTGTAGCAGAGGCTTCCTGGGGTCTCTTGCCTGCCCTGGTTGACAGACCTACCTCCTCTAACAATTTTCTTCACCAAGTTACAGCCAGTGGGGGAGTGAGTGTACAGCATGTGGATCCCGCCATCTAAGTCTTGGCAAAAGATATTCCTCCTTCCTACCCCTCTGGGGTGCTGGTACAACCCAGCAGACCCAACCTGGTAGCATGAGAGTCCCCACATCCTGTCAGGACAGCTCAACTACCCCCACATGATAGAAGGTGCTTTGTCTCCAATTTCAGTCCCAACCCCAGCCCAAACTGAAGCCAAGACGTCAGGTATTCAGAGCAGAGTAATATCACAGGTGGGAGAGTCTGGCAGTGAGAGGGGGGCCTCCATGCTGATGGCCCATGAAGACCACAGAGCCTGCCTGTTAGTGCTAAGTCCCCCCTACCCTGTTCTAGTTGAACACTCAAGAGTTTCTTTAGTGGTTGCTGTCCTTGATTCCAAGCTTCCCAGCCAAGCTTCCCAGCTTTTTAGCCCCTTCTACATTTCCCCAAGTATTTTCACCTCCTCCACATCAGGAAAAGTGATTAGTGTTCTACATCACCCAAAAGTCATGGAGGTCAGCTGCTCATGCAATGCCCAGAAGAAAAGACAGAATCTTTCAAAAGTCTCAGTTCTTTTCCTTACCAGAAATTATCTCATTTTCCCCTACAGCTACTTGGTCCGTAGCAACTCCACTGACTTATTTAACAGGCAGCTCAAAACCCAGAAGAAACTGGAGGAGGCTCTTTCACTGTAGGGATAGTTTCAATTCAGTAACTGGAGCAAGGTGCTCTCCTTGCACCCTGGCTCATTCCCACATGAGGTCTTTCAAAGAAAACAATTACCTCCTTCCACAAGCCCTCCAGTGATCTAAGGCTAAAGGAAATCCAAAGGACAAGGCCTACAGAGAAAGAGAAGAAAGGCATTTCAACAGGTACTCACTCTCCACACCAGGATAAAGCCACCGAGGAGGAAAAATATTAAGGGGCAGTGTAGAAAAGGACAAAAGGAAAAACTCAAACTTCCTGCCTCCTTTTACTTGGAACCATGATTTGGCTTGAAGCATGAGCTTTCAGAATGGCACATAGTCACAATGAAATGTAAGACAAGGACAAAACAGATTATTCCACAACAAAGCTAGGTGACTTAGATTGTCCATATCACTGTTCATTCCCTTACTAGGGCTAATGGAGAGTTTCCTACTTGCTAAAATACTTCTTATAGCAATAGCTTGCAAATAAGATGGATTCCTGACTTGTAGCAAACACAAGTTACATGCCATTTCTCCTGGTCTACACACACAAAAACTTCCTTCTCAGATTCTCAACTTTTCAGATTACTCTCAAAAGTTGGAACTTCTGGGGCCTCTGTGGTGGGGCAAGGGGTTAAGATGCAAACTATGAAGCCTATCTGCAGCCACTTCAGCATGAGTTTGATCCCCCGCCAGGGAGCAACACACATGGAGCAGCAGACCTCTCCTGACTCGCCCGCTGCTCCCCTCAGCAGTGTGTTTCAGTCAACCTGCCTGTTCTGTTCCCCACTATGTCTCTGGTGAATCCTCTCACTCCCCACATCTCTGGCCTATACCCCAGTTCTTGTATGCATAAATAATAAATAAATCTTTAAAAAAAAAAAAAGTTGGAACTCCTGAGCTCTACAGAGGATGCCTGTCTCAAAAACTAGACTTACCAGCTCCATTCTGCTCCATAACTTCACTACTTAGTTCTGTGACCTTGGGCAAATCACTGAACTACTGGGCCTCAACTCTCTCAATAAGGAGGTAGGATTAAATGCTAAGGTCCCTTCCAGCTCTACCCTTTATGATTATGTGTGTGTGTGTGTGTGTGTAATGATTCTATATATGACATATTTTTTCTCTGTTTTTCAAGCAAAAATGTGTCATGACTATTCTGACAATAAATGAAATGTTTGTAAAGAGCTTAGCACAGTACCTGCTTCATGGAAATACTCAATATATATTTGTTGAATAAATGATCTAGAGGGAAGCTGAAGTGGAAAAGCTGGTCAGATGTCTAACAGCAAGAGTACTCTTGTCAATGTAGTAACACTAAATAACTGCTGCTATCATTCTTCACGATCATAAAAATAACAGCCATTGTTTGAATAATAGCAGTTAACAGCTCGAAGGCATTTCAGAAAAAAAGTAATCAGCCCAAACATGTAAACAGAAAGCTTTTAGATGCAGGACTACATATTAGATTTAAGTGAACAGAGTCTGATGCCAAGCCCCCTCATCTTAGCTAGTCGGGTGTGGGGGCTACAGGGATGCCAGGGAGGAAATGAGTCCTTGGGCCACAACTAAAAAGACATTTCATCTCAGGATTTTGAGGGAAAGCAGAACTCAACAAATTAAGGCAGGCAGGGGTGGGGGAAGTGATGCTCTCAGAGTGAAGAGGGGAGAAAACATCACAACAGTTTCAAGAGCACCCCAAACACAAGCCCTGGGCACTGATCCCTCAGTAGTAGCCACAGCCACAGTGACATGTGGCATGAGATTAGAGGGGACTGCAGGCCACAGTACTACCCTCTTCCCAAAGCTCTAAGCCACCATCTGTTTCTCAAAGGAGAGTAGGGCAGGAAGGACATACACAAGGAGGGATTCCAAAGCCATGAGAAGGCAGAGGAAGCTGAGATGAGATGAGATGGCAAATCTCATTTGGGCAAAGACGCTGCTCTCTGGATGTTACCAATCCCAGGCAGCACATATAAGAGAAGCATTTTATTCATGTGCGCACTGTCCTTCTGGACGAATAGACTGGCAGACTGGGAAGAGAAAAGCTAAAGGTTGAGCCCACAGGACTAGAGCTCCCGCTTGAGAGGATCCGACTGCAGGATCAAAGCTACAGCTAAAAAAAAAAAACAAAACAGGAAAAGGTTGTATTCTTCAGTGTGGGTGGCGTGGTCAAAGCGCGATGGACAGGAAATCAAGAAACGTGGGTGCCAGTTTGGGTTCTACCTTGAACTACATTCGAGATGCTGAGCAAAGCAAGCGGTATTCCTGGATCTGAGTTTCCAAATCTGTGAAATGGGCGAGTTGGGTTGGCTGACCTCCTCCCAGCTTCTCTCTACACGACCGTCCAGAGGGTGCGCTCCCGGCTGGAGGAGGGCAGGGCCGTGCAGGGCGGGGCAAAACAGCAGCAACATGGGCTCTCGCAAGACACCGGAACAGGGCCCGACCCCAGAAAAAGGTGCAGGGCTGGGGAGCAAAGGCCGCGGCTTCGCCTTACCTGCCACCTGCCGACTCTCCACACATAAATCGTGCCCTGCTGCCTTCGCCGTCGTTCACTGTCACCCTGTCCAGCCTGGAGCCCCGGCCCAGCCGGGCTCAACGCGACCTACCATGGCCCGCTGCCCAGAGTGGCAGGCTAAGGACCCGGACCCGGCGCCAGCCCATCCTCGACCACGGCGCGAGCGCAAGCGCAGGCATCCCGGAGCTCCGCCCCGGCTCGTCCCGGGGCATTCTGGGAGTTGGAGTTTATCCCTGGACGAGGCGGGGCGGTCACATGATAAAGCGCACCAATTGACGTGCTTCTTACTACGGCACGACTGCTGGATTTTAGCCAATGAGAAGTCGACTTCGTTTTCCGCGGGGCTCGGGACTGTGGCCGTCATGGCGCCGCCCGTGAGGTATTGTATCCCGGGTAAGTGAGCGTGCCCACAGCAAATCCTGGGTAGGGACAGAGGCAGGAAGACGGGATGGCCACAGCTTCTGGGGATCCGTAGCTGATCCTGCCTTTTTTCTGCAGGCGAACGTCTGTGCAACTTGGAGGAAGGCAGCCCCGGCAGCGGCACCTACACCAGGCACGGCTACATCTTTTCGTCGCTTGCTGGCTGCCTAATGAAGAGCAGCGAGAACGGCGCGGTACTGGGCGGCTCTCCCTCTCCTTTGCCCCTCCTTTCTCTTAAACTGGCTTTGATTTGGCGGTTCTTAGGCAGGGACACCGAGGACGCGTCTTTGGTGCCTCACCAGTAGAACAAGCTGATCTCTGTTTCTGCCAGCTGTGGTCCCCGCACTCAGCAACATAGACCAGTTGTTCTGCTCTGTTGCTGACACTCGGGGAAGGAAGTTGGGAAGAGCAGAGGGAACTGAATCCTGTGTTAAGTCTGCCACCTCTGTGGCCTCATCTTGGTCCACTTATCCACTGAAAGGTCGATGCAGGAGACCCGAGGCAGATGCAGGGGGCGAGAATGAGGAAGCCCACGTGAGGGTGAGAATGAGGGCCTGCTGGTACCATCAGAAAACAACTCTGTTCCTCGTCAAACCAGTTCCCCCACCTGCAAGCCCGGTCTCCCTCTCCCCAGCCTATAAAAACCTGCCTCCCCCTGACAATGGGCGCTACTTCACCAACCCCCAACCCCCACCCCCTTGGGTCCGTGAATCTCGCCCGGGAGCTTGAATTAAACTTAACCTGGCTCCTCTTTACTGCACCGAACCTTTCATCCACCTCACTCGCAGTCTAATCATACTGGCTTCTTTCACTGTCACTAACGCGCTAAGTTCTTTCCTGCCACACACACAGAGCTTTTATACATACGCCGTCTGTCTGGAACATGATCCTCTCCTCCTTAGCCTATTTTCATTCCTACCTGTCCTTCAGATAGCCTCTGTAGTATCTATCGCTTGCTCAAAAAAAGCAAGGAAGAGATAAATAGAAGACAAGACTCGAAAATATCAACATTCATCAACCACACCAAGGAGAAAATCCTACAAGTATTCCCTTTAAATAGAAGTAAACAGCCATGGCCGCTATTTACTTTTATTTGGAAATTCTAACCTATTCAATAAAATGAGTAACAGAAAGTAGTAAAACTTTGGAGGAGTCGTATTATCCATAATTATAAGCAATGTGGTTGTACACCAAAAAAGCATAGAACTAATTAGAAATGGTTAGATTATGTCTGCTAGTGGCATTCTTCCTGTGACCCCTTGGCTCTCCTTATTTCTAAAATATCCTAAGGCTTTCTGCTCTGAGCTGCAAATGCATTTATTCTACCTGCCCTTGTGACCTCAGCTGTAGATTCAGTGATTTCTGTTTTACTCTCAAGCTGCAAGTACCATTACCCAAAGTTTTGCCAGATTACCCATATTTTACTATTCTCTTTGCAGCTTCCTGTGGTGTCTGTGATGAGAGAAACAGAGTCCCAGTTACTGCCAGATGTGGGAGCTATTGTTACCTGTAAGGTAAGTTGGTCCTACTTGGGATACCCATCCAGTACTAAAAATCATGACTACGGTAGAACTGCACTGTCCAGTAGTAGCTACTAGCCACATGAGACCATTTAGATAGATTAAAGTTTAAAATTTACAGTCCTCAGTCCCACTAGCCATATTTCAAGTGTTCAGTAAGCACCTAGAGTTAGTAACTGCCCTGTTAGTCAAGACAGACAGTTTTTTCACTAGCTGGTTCCCTGAGTATGTAGTTTTACTGGTATCTGGGAAACTGTAATCTTCTGCAGAAAAGCAAAAACTTGCATATTCTAGCATTCATTTTAAATACAAAGTCTTGTAACAGACTTCAAAGACTTGAGGGAAGTACAAATTAAAGCTATACTAGTCAGTAACTGTGCTCCCTGCCCATCCCCCCACCAGGTTAAATTAGCTTGCAACTCTTAGTTTCTCTCTTTATTAATTGTTCCATCAGAAAATCTATGTGTAATTCTGAAAATAACTTGAAAGGCAGTGATCCAAATATTATGCAGTAGCTAAAATGTGGCCTTAAATTCTGCTACTTACACAAGCCTTTTAGTAAGATCTGTTAAAGGTCTACATTTGCTATAATGCTTGCCTATTTATGTTAGACTTCTGTATTTTTCAAAACAAAGCCTATAGCATATGATTTCATTTGATTCCCACAATAACTCTTGGATAGCCCTTATTCCACTTTACGTATATCATATATGCAGGGATACATAGGAGTTAACTTAAGTTCTTAGTAGATTTGCTTGGACTAAAATCCTAGTAATTTCTGGTTAATGTTGCCCATTTCTGTTGACGACTGCTAATTCTCTAATACTGCTCATTACTCCACTCCCCAGGTCTCTAGCATCAATTCACGCTTTGCCAAAGTACACATTCTATATGTGGGATCTACACCACTTAAGAACTCTTTCCGAGGAACTATCCGGTAAATATTCTTGTCTTCAAATTTGCCTCAGTGTGGGGAATGAAACTAGGATAGCACTGGAGACTGGAATTTTTGGGACAATTACAGATCCTACCCCTATCTGCTTGTCTCTATTTTGTGCTTTGATTCTCACCAGGTAGTGTCCAAAGAAAATGTGATATGAGTTAGGGCAAAAGGAGAACATTATTGAGATATAGGACTTAAAAATAAAGCAGAGGAAATAAATAAATAAATAAATAAATAAATAAAGCAGAGGGCCTCCCTGGTGGTGCAAGGGGTTAAACGCAACCTATGAAGCTGTCTGCAGCCACTGCAGCACGAGTTCGATCCCCAGCCAGGGAGCTACCCACATGGCACAGCAGACCTCTCCTGTCTCTCCCGCTGCTCTCCTCAGCAGTGTATTTCAGTAAATCTGCCTGTTCTGTTCCCCACTCTGTCTCTGGTGAATCCTCTCACCCCCCCCCAACTCTGGCCTGTACCCCAGTTCTTGTATGTATAAATAAATAAATCTTAAGAAAAATAAAATAAAATAAAGCAGAAAGAATTGAGCTTGGGTGGAGGTTAGTGATGCAGGATGATCATATCAAATAAATTAGTGTATTTCAGGAAATTCCTTTCTTTCTTTTTTTTTTTTTTATTTTTTTTAAGATTTATTTTTTTTAATTATTTATTTATTCAAGCACTGGTACAGTCAAGCGCGGGATGAGAGAATCACCAGAGCCAGAGCGGGAGCAGAGCAGAGAAGGACCGAAGTACACTGCTGGGGAGCAGCGGGCTTGCAGGAGAGTCTGCGCGCCATGTGGATCCTCTGGTGCGGGGAGCAGCCGGGGATCGAACCAGCACTGCAGAGGCTCGGGCAGCTCGAACCCAGCGCTCAACCTGCGCAACTGGAGGCCCTCCTTTCTTTCTTGAATCTTATGTACATTAAACCCAGGGATTGAAAGTCTTAAAAAGATAGTGAATAAAATACTAGATAGATAGATAGATTTTTTTTTTTTTTTTGGCTTTAAGTTATTTGAAGAGGGATAGTTTTTGCAAGGAGAGCTATTTCATTTCTGAAGTCCTTTCCCCTCCTCAGATTCTATGTGGTTCCAGAGCACGTGTCAAAGCACGCCTAAGACGGCAGAGTTTCTCATCCTTTCCTGCCAAATCTGATCTGCTCGTCTCTCTCATATGTGCTGTCACGCTGCATGTGTCATCTACAAATGGGAAATGGGGAAAGTAGCTTTCTCCTAGGGGGTGCTGCTCCTGCTCCCTAGGGCGGCAGCTGGGCCCCAACTGCTGCTAGTTCTCTCTGCTCTGGTAGCTCTTGGTCCGCTAAGCGTCTGCAGGATAATTCTTTTTCATGGAGAATTAATATTTCTGTTCTTTTTTACAGCAAGGAAGATGTTCGAGCTACTGAAAAAGACAAGGTAGTTGATTGACTCCTTCCCTCTCCCCCTCACCCCTCACTACGCCCCCCTTTTGTGGTTTTCAGTGGCTTTAAAAGGAGCTCCCAATCCTTGTAAATTATTCCAGTGAATTTCATAAATCTTTGTGAAGGTAGAATCCAAGGACATTTAAGGTGTTTCCTGCTGGAGAGTGCGGAACTCACCTCACTCTCCCTTTGCTCTCCATGTGAATTTTGTTCATTCTGGTGAGCAGGGGGAGGCTGGTTTTCTCTTTGCCTTTGAAGCCAGATATTTATTCATTGCTGTTCCCTCAGACTTATTCCGTACCTTCTCAGAACCACCTTTGTCCAAGTCCGAGTCTTGATAAGATTACTGAATTCAAAATCTTTCATTTGAAGCAATAAAAGTTGATGACTTCTGGGCCTCCCCGGTGATTGAGCGCTGGGTGCGAAGCTGCTCTGCGTTCGATCCCCGGCTGCTCCCGGACGGAGGAGGGTCCCACATGAGACCTCTCCTGAGTGTACTTCGGTCCTTCTGCCTGCTCTGCTCCCGCTCTGGCTCTGGTGAATTCTCTCGACTGTACCCAGTGCATGTTAAACAAAACAAGAGCAGAAACAATAAATAAAGCATGCCTCTATAAAAAAAAAAAAAAAAAAAGTTGATGACTTCTATCCTCTGGGATCAGAAAGTGGACTGTCTCTACCAGAGGATTCATGGTTTCATGTAGTCCTGACCTGATGTAGAGTTTTCCCCTGATACCCCTGTTTTTTCTTTACAGGTTGAAATTTATAAGAGTTTCCACCCAGGTGATATTGTCTTGGCCAAAGTGGTATCCTTTATTCCAGGCAGACTTGTGGTCCTTTGTCAAAAGAAGAAGTGAAAGTAAAGAAATAAGTGGCTATGGGAGGGAAGACTCATAAACCATCATTTTCCTTCACCAGTATCTGTCATTAGATCTCCCTCGGTGACGCACAGTCCAACTATCTTCTGACCACTGCCGAAAATGAGCTGGGGGTGGTGGTGGCCCACAGTGAGTCAGGTAAGTGGAGCCACCCCTCCACATGCTCACCTTTCCCTGGGAGCTATGGTTTGGGACTACTCCATCGTTTTCTAGTAATCTAGAAAGCAGTAGAGTATAGATTCTTAATACGGAGATTAGAACAGTTCTTCTTATGTAAATCTGGGGTAGGGGCAGGAGGGCTCACTGTATAACACAGTGAATGAACAAGATTTTTTCCTGACAAGGTGTGGTTCACTAGGAACCTTAGTGACACTTCATTCTTAGCCAGCAAAAAAGAGAAGGATCTCAGGCAAATATTTGGGGTCTCAGTTCTAACACCACCTTTTCCCTTCCAGGGGTCCAAATGGTTCCCATCAGCTGGTGTGAGATGCAGTGCCCTAGGACCCACACTAAGGAATTCAGGAAAGTGGCCCGGGTTCAACCTGAGTTCTTGCAGACCTAAGAAGCCACGTTATACCCCATGGAAGAGGGTAAGCTGTTTCCAGAGTACATGTATGAACATAACATCAAGATGCACTGTCTTTATTCAGACACCTGGGGTCGGCCTACAACCACCTCTAGAAAAATCTGCCAGAAACGTGCTCTTTATCTGGGACATTTTTCTTGTGAACCTTTTAGTAGGTTTCATTTTCATGATAAATTTCTCTTATGGAAGCACCAGCAAACAAACTCTTAAATGTTGGCAAGAGCCTATTCCTTCTGACAGTCTTAAAGATATGTTGTTTTTTGTATATTTTGGGTTTTTTTTTTTTGCTGTGACAAAGAAAACATTTACTAATTTTCTGGTTTCTGTTGTCTTGAGTAGGGAAACAAATCTAAATGGTGCCATAACATTTAAGGCAGGGACTTGCCTGGTGTCACCCATTAACTGACATATGTCACATGCTTGTTTGCTGGACAAAGCCTAATCTCCAGTCTTCTTTTTGTGTTTTTTTATTTTCTAATTACCTCTATTCACTTAGTGCTAACTATGTGCCAGATATTGGGTCAACACTTTATTTACTTTCTGTCATTTAGGGAGATTATGGTTTGGTGCGAACTGTAGGACATGTGATTGTGGTAGCATTCGGAGTTCTCAAAGTGATTCGGTAAATGTAGCATACTGAGAGAGTGGGTACGCCAAGAAATATTTGTTAAATCTGAATTGGAAAGAGGCACAAAACACTGACATGGGAGGTGGCCAGGAAAGGATTTGTGACAGGAGATAAAAGGAATTTTAAAGCACTTAATAAGTGAATATGTTCAAAACAGAGAAGCCCAAGCAATATACCAACACAGGAATGAACACATAAGTTTGAGGATGAGGAAGGGGTGATGGTTAAGCCTGGAAAGGTCCCAGAAGGAATGGAAGGAAAGATGAATCATGATATGTCACTTGAGATGTCATTCAAGGAGCCCATATTGACAGTGGCAGAGGGTGAGCTTTGGAGTCAACTCTGCTGGGTGTATGTCCTCTAGAGCAGGTCCAGTCTATTTTTGTTTTATTGAAAACAAGACACCTGGTGTCAGCCAGCAACAGCAACTTCTCCAGAAAAATCTGCCAGAAACAGCTCTGTAGGTGGAACATTTTTCTTGGCAAACCTTTCAGTGGGTTTCATTTTCGGGAGTGGTAAGTTTCTCTTTTGGAAGCACCAGCAGACCAGCAATTGTGGTAATTGTAGGTCCACTTGCAGTTGTAAGAAACTAAGCAAAGAAGTCCCTTGTACACTCTGCCCAGTTTCTCTCAATGGTGAAAATTTTTTTTTAATAGTTATTTTTTTATTTATACAATAGCTGGGGTACAGGCTAGAGGCATGGGAGGATGAGAGGATTCACCAGAGACAGAGCGGGGAGCAGAACAGGCAGACGGACCGAAAGCACTGCTGAGGAGAGCAGCGGGCGCAACAGGCGAGGTCTGCCGCACCATGTGGGAATCTCCCTGGCCAGCCGGGAATCAAACCTACGCTGCAGAGGCTGCAGACAGCTTCACAGCGCTGTGCTTAACCTGCTGTGCCACTGGGGAGGCCCTCAATGGTGACATTTTGCAAATTATCATATGCTTTAAGAATCAGGGTGTCAACTTTGATCTTGAGCAATTTCTTTCTTTTTCTTTAAGTCTGTTTGCTCATCTGAACAGTGTAACCTCAGGATTCTTGTGAGGAAGAAATGCATGAAAGCGCTCAGTGCCTGCTCCTCTTATTAAACTTGCATATCTGATTGCCTTGTATCAAGTGTCTATTAAATGTCAGGGTTTATATGAGACACTGTAGTTTGTTTAATCAATCTCCCTCTAGGATGAGTATTTTAAAACCTTACAACTATTAACCACTATTATTTTATTACTACTTTAAAGCTAATTTTTTTTTAAACAATCCTACAAAGAAAACCCTTATGCCATATATCTTTATGCGTGTCTATGATTAGCTTGCAAAATAGTTTCCGAGAAGTGGAATGCTGTATAAAAGACTATGTACATTTTAAATTTGTTTTCAGTTCTCCCTACTGCCTTGGCAGAAAGAGGCTACCAATTGATTGTCTCAGCAACAACATTAGCCAGTTTATTTATGTTATCCCTAAACTTCAGTGACCCTGGAAAGTAGCAATCATTTCTACATGCTTAGAGAAGTAAACTAAGGCTTACAAAAATGAACTTGCTCTTGGTCACACAGACGTCAAGTGGCAGAGCAGGATTCAAACCCAGTCTTCATGTAAAGCTCAGGCTCTTCTACTGTATCCTGGGGCTCTTTTTCCTGAGTATCCAACAGAGCCTTGCATGCAATTGGAGGCTTTCCAGACAGACAATGTCTGCTAATCACAAGTGTTCATTGGACACCATTCACTCAGTAAATATAAAATGAGCACATACTCAGTGCACCACTGTTCAGGATCAGGGAGGTAAAGCAGTGAAGGTGATAGAGCCCTTAGGGATCTGACATCCCCGCAGGAGAGACAGATACTAAGTACCATACAAAGAAATATTATAATTTAAGGCAGTAATTTTTAAAATCATCATAAAAAGCATTCAAAAAAACTGAGTGATAGCCTTCCCTGCTCAGCTGCAGGCCAGGCCTGATTTTTCTCACCCTTAACCCTTCTGCATTATAGTACAAGCTAGTTATATCTTCCCTACCAGCCTGAGCTTTGGTGGCAGGAGACTGTCTTTTCTATATTTGAATTTCCAGTACATGGTTTTGTGGCAATGAAAAGAAAATGCTCAGTAAAAATTTTGTTGCATGTACTCATAGCCAACTGAACAGCTATGCCCGGTGATACTAAGTGAAGGTGGTATTTGCTAATCTGAAATCCGTTTGCGAGATTAAGGAAGGAGGCTATTCTTTCTGTGCCCTGGAATAATGGTTCTCAGCCACGTAGGTGGACCTCAAATTGCCTATAGAACCTAAAAGAGAAAAAAGCAGAGCTGCTAGAATCTTATGGGATGAACCCAAAACAGATGTTTATTTCAGTGTCATGGATGAGTGATTCTGATGTGCCATCTTGGCTAAGTCTTAGAAGAGAGAAATAGCAGTTGTTGGCCTCCTACTGGTAATGGCAAATGATGCTGGCTTTCCGGGCCAAAGGCAACACAACACATTCCAGTCAGGACTCTTAACGTTGCAAGGAATGAAGACTGCCATAAGCCCAAGCTAGGTCAGGGCAGAGCACCATCAAACACAAGCTGAACGAGTCTGACTTGGGTAAAGAGCTCTTGATCAAACAAAATTACCAACTTTGGGTCTAAGATTTGGTGTAGGCTAAGTAAACTTATGTCCCACCAGGCTATTGGAGACTTCAATCAGTAGAGGTCTCCCTAGGGTTACTATGTAGATCAAATCAAAAAACTAACTTGAAAAACAACCTTTTTAAGTTTCTTAAATGTCTTTCAGTTTTAGAGTAAGGACCTTGATAAAACTGAACTAACACCCTTCACCTGTGCTCCAGTACTGAGTCGTCATCAGCCTTTGCCCAGTGTCCACATCTCTTTGGGCCAGTTTCCTCCTCTGTAAACTGGGGCACCATCCCTTTCACAAGTTGTCAGGACTGGAGATTATGTATGCAGTGTTCCTTAACTGCTGCAGAGCCTCCTAAGAACTTCCTAGATGGTGTTACTTGCTCCTGCAAGGTGAGAGGCATGACGGGCATTCTCTTACCTGGTGGGCTTTCAAAGGCCTTAGAGAGATGAAAAAAATGAGCAGTGCCCCTTCCCAACTGCTATTCTCCTACATCATCATTTTATGAGATTATAATTTTTTTTTTTAGAGGCATGTTTTATTTATTTATTTATTGTTCGTTTGTTTGGTTTTTGTTTATACATGCACTGGGTACAGTAAGAAGCACGGGAGGGTGAGAGAATTCACCAGAGCCAGAGCAGGGAGCAGAGCAGGCAGAAGGACTGAAGTACACTGCTGAGGGGAGCAGCGGGCGGCAGGAGAGGTCTGCGCGCCATGTGGGACCCTCCTCCGGTGGCCGGGGAGCAGCCGGGGATCGAACCGGCGCCGCAGAGGCCGCGGGCAGCTTCGCAACCCAGCGCTCAACCACTGCGCTACTGGGGAGGCCCGAGATTATAATTTTTTTTAAAGATTTATTTATTTATGCATACAGGAGCTGGGGTAAAGGCCAGAGATTGGGCGGGGCGGGTGTGTGAGAGGATTCACCAGAGGCAGAGCGGGGAACAGAACATGCAGTGGACCAAAATACATTGCTGAGGGGAGCAGCAGGCAAGACAGGAAAGCTCTGCCTTGCCATGTGGGATGCTCTCTGGCTGGCCGGAGATCGAACTTGTGCTGCAGAGGCTGCAGATTGCTTCATAGTAGGTACTTAACCCCTTGCGCCACCAGGGAGGCCCTGAGGTTATAATTTTTGAGGATGTTAAATTAGTTGACTGACAGGCTGAAAACTTTAAGGGGGTCATAAAGACTCAAGCTTACAAGTTAATAGAAAAGGATTAGTGTTTTAAAGAATCTGGTAAACAAATCTTACTCTCTGGAGCACATGTTGGAGTTTTAGAATCTGCATTTCCAGTCGAGGGGCTATTAGGTAAACAGCACCGCTGAGCAAGAACTACAGAGAGGGTAACGAGTGGAGCTCATCTGGGAAGACCTGCCACTCTCCTAGCTCCCAGCCCGAGGTAGGAAACCAAGATGACAGTTGTAAACTAGGTGTGTGAGATTGTGATTGACTGTCCTGCAGCTCTTAATCTGTCACAGGACTTGAGTAATGAGACATATCAAGTTGAAAACTCAAGCTGATTTCCTCAGACAGAGATTGCATGTCACAGAAAAAATATTGCACATCACTCCTTTATTATACTGGTCTGGAAAAAAAAATTTAGTACAGTTATGCTCAAAATGAGGACCAAGCAACTGGAACATGATTCAGAAATGAGATACAACGACACACTTGGACATGATCAAAAGGCATTTCACTGCCACAGACAGTAAGGGGATTCTAAAACACACAGCAGGATGAACTCCTTGCAGGTCAAGGAGCTTATCCCATGTTAGTATAAGGAATGGCTTATTTTCTAATGACCACACATGGGAATATTTCACCCACCACTAGAACACCCCAGGAGAGTTTTGTTTTGTATTTTTGTAATATATATAGTTAATTTTTTTTTTTTTTTTTGTAAAAGTAAATGCACACAACATTCGGGCTTTTTCCTCATCTGGTGCCAGCTCCTCAGGGAGGAAATGTTTATTTTAATCACCATGCAGGTTACATTCATCTTCCACTGGCAATGCCTAGACCCCCACAGTCACCTGGCCTCAGAATGGCACAGGACTGGCTCCTGGGAGCACAGATAGACCCTCTGGCTTCTCACTGATCATACCTTAGCATGGTTCCTCCCTGTCCCCTACCTAAGCCGGCCCATGGTAAACAAAAAACTAGCAAAAACCCTAGCTACTACCTCTCAACTCTTGGCTAAGAGCTTGGCTTGAGAACCCATGCCCCAGAGGGGCCATTCTGACTACACTGTATGAAGGGAGTGGGTGCAAGAGACAAGATGCTAAAAATGAAATTGGGAACCACCAGTTTCCATCTGCAGCTAAAACTTAAGATACCTACAGATGGTCAGTGTGGCATGTACAGGGGAGAGGTACAGAGGAAAGGGGTGGGCAGGCAGGATGTCTTGGGGAGTGTAGTCTGTCTGCTCTCCCTCACTTCTTGGCCTTGCCCTGGGCAGCCACAGCTTCCATGGCTTTACGCACGGTCTCTTCATCCCCCAGAAACTGCATGGGCTTGATGGGCTTCAAGTTCTTGTCCAATTCGTAGACAATGGGAATACCAGTTGGCAGGTTCAGCTCCATGATAGCCTCTTCAGAGAGACCTGAAAAATACCCACCATGATCAGCCAAATAAGATGTGAATCCTCACCACCCTGCCAGGTTTACTATCGATCCTTTGGGATAAATAGTATCCTGGCAAAGGACTTGGTAGGAATTAAAATAAGACATCCTTTCTGATTTTTGTAATAGTATTGACCTGTGTTATAACCCAAGGAATGCCCCCAAATGCTTTTTGCTCAGGCAAGAAAAAAGTATGAAAGGTGTGTACCAAATATCCCTCCCAAAGTGGAATCTGGAAGCCCCCAGTGAAGCAGGACTACATATACCACACATCTCTGCAGTCTATCCAGCCTGCCAAAGATCGCATCTGGGTCTCTAAGCCCCGGGGTAAAGCAATTAAAGATGCAAATGGAGATTCATGTGTGAAGTTGTACACTGATTGAGAACAATCAATTGATAAAATTGATTAAGGTCAATTTTATCAGCAGTTTAAACTAGTAATCCTCGTTCAGAGGTAGGCATCTCAAATTTTAATGTGAATCTTGAACCACCTACGTGATGGGGTGGGACCTGAAGTTCTGCATGCATACCAAGCATGCAGGGGTCTTCTGCAGAGGTTTTCAAAGTCTAGAGTAGAAGAGAGGGTGTTCCCACTAGGAATCAAATCTAGCCTGCCTCTAGACTATCAGCCTGCCTGGCCCTTTCCCAAAGGTCTCATCTGTACTGAGTGATTACTCCCGACTAGTGGCTGTTCTGCTGTACCCCTCCTGGGGGCCCATCTAAAAAATGGACATACCCTCCAGATGCTTGACAATGCCCCTCAGGCTGTTGCCATGGGCGGCAATGAGTACCCGTTTCCCTTCCTTGATCTGAGGAACTATCTCTTCATTCCAAAAGGGCAGAGCTCTGGCAATAGTATCCTTCAGACTCTCACAGGAGGGTAGCTGATCTTCAGTGAGGTCAGCATACCTGCGGTCCTAAACAAGAAAAAAAACACCCATCAATTATTTGCAGTTTGACCTGTTAATTTCGTCACAATTTATCAATTCTGCCACTCATCCCCTATGAAGTCAAAGTAATGGGTGATGGTCTTCACCAGAGGCCAAAAAAATTCTCTCACCCTCCCGCGCTTCTGACTATAACTTGGGAGAGGGGTAATTGTCCTGCCCCTTTACATACTACTGAAAAGAACAACAGTCCAGAAGAGATATAACTTAGAAAAGGTAGACTACAAGACTTCCCAATTCATTTCATCTTACAACTGGTTTAGGAAGGTATTAAGGCTATGGGTGAGGTTTATAAAATAATGGCAGGGGAGATATATAAGCTTTTTCAAAATAAACTCTCAATTAAGTACTTTGACAAGTTAAGATCATTCAGTGGAAAAGAAAAATTACAATCATTTTATATTCAAAAATTATATACTCAATGGGACTAGGCAGACACTAATAAAGCTAGAAAGTTATGAGGCCCAGATTCTAATGCCCTGGTCATGTGTGGAGTAAGCTGCATGTTGTGTTCATACCTTGCTGATGTTGCTGTAGAAGGGATGGTCAGGCTCCATTGGAGGTGGTGGGACATCAAAGGAGCGCCTCCAGATCTTTACCTGGGCCTCGCCATGCTTGGCAGCAGTTTCTGCTTTATTGAGGCCAGTCAGACCCCCATAGTGCCGCTCATTGAGGCGCCAAGTCCTCACTACGGGCAGCCACATTTGGTCAATGGCCTCCAACACCGTCCAGAGAGTCCGAATTGCTCTCTTCTGCACTGAGGTGAAGCAGATATCAAACTCATAGCCAGCATCTGGAAATAAGAAGATCAGGGTGATAAGTTAATCAGGTCCACTCTATAGCCAGAATTTCCTTACACTAATCTATACAGGCAGTCCAAATGAAAATTATTTGGCAAATGTTTGAAGGAAAAACAATATTTTGCCTTAAGGGAAGAAAAAATTTGTTGACTCAGGCTACAGTTGATAACATATCTCCCTGTGGTTCCCCAATAATTCATCCAATCCAGGATCTAAATATACTGTTGGTGCTAACCAACAGTCTGTACTGTTTATCCTAATCCTCACAATGCTGTGCTTCAGCACATTTTAAGGGTGTATTTCTGCTTCAATTCTTTCAAAGAAAGGATCCTTAAAGCTTGTAATCTCTTAACTAATAACTAGTACTGACAGAGTACTTCATGTTTTATTGAGTCTTCATAATAACCCTATGAGATTATAGTCCTTATTAACCATCTTACCAGGTGAGAAAAAAGTTAAGCAAATTATTCAAAATCACAACTATTGGGCCTCCCTGGTGGCGCAAGGGGGTAAGATGCAACCTATGAAGCTGTCCACAGCCACTGCAGCACAAGTTCCATCCCCCGGCCGGCCAGGGAGCAACCCACATGACGCAGCAGACCTCCTCTGACTTGCCTGCTGCTCCCCTCAGCAGTGTATTTCAGTCAGTCTGACTGTTCTGTTCCCCATTCTGTCTCTGGTGAATCCTCTCACCCCCCACACGTCTTGTATGCATAAATAAATAAATCTTTAAAAAAAAATCAAAATCAAAACTATTACATAAAGTTAAAATGCAGGCCGTGTGACTCCAAAATCCAACTCACATTTTCCTGACTCCTGAGAATTCTGATATTGATATTTCAATTAGAATTGTCATTTCTAAAAGATAACTACTAGGAAAAATGACATTTTTAACTCTCAACAATCAGGCCACAGCTAGTGCTCTAATGGGATGCTCATAAACTGAGTTGGTTACATCAAATTGTCTTTTCACTATACACTGCAAATCACACCACAGTCTCTTAATCCACAGTTACTTTCTGCTATTGTCACAGTGCCAGCCTATTCCTGAGTACCCTCAAAGGGATATACTTACTTAGGTCAACTGTTAAATCAAGTTTAAGAAGAGCAACTCATTGGGGGGAAAAAATCAAATGCTGTGCACTGATTTATTTATATTTATGATTTATATTTATTATGATTTATTTATAAACAAATCTGTCCTCCATACACAGTAATTATTGAGGGGCGGTAATTAAGAGTTGGTCCAACCAACAGGTTACAATGATTAAATCAATCTTTATCTCATGTTTCATGAAATATTATCCTCCTTCCCACTTAATGAGAAATGCCTCTTCCCCGATGTGGTAGGGTAGAATACTCCCTATTCAAACTCCAACACTTTCCTGGGTACTGTCTGATATTGAGGTTGCCAACAGTAATGAATGAAATATGAAGTATATTTCCCTGCTATTCATTCCATTGAGAAAGACCAATAAGAACTACACTGATGGTAGAAGGGCGGATTAATTACTGGGAAATCCACTGTCAACCCACGGGAAAAGACAGATCTCATTTGTGGGCTTCAGGGTAAGTCCTAGTAGTCTTGGTTACCATCTCCCTAATCTAACCATAAGGGGAGAATCTGCTCCCCAATAAAAGGCTGAGTCACTGGGAAGCAATTATTCCCAGTGCAAACCTCAGCTCCCATGCCGAAAAGCTACTGGCTGTTTAACTGCAATTATTTTCACTTGCAGTAGTGCCTCATACTGGATACACAAATCAGTCCCCAAGGAGAAAAGGTGTTCACTTTAGGGCTCCTTTTAACAGAAGTCCAAAGTCTCTTCCTTTAACCTGTCCATTAACCAAAAAGCATACCCTTAGATACTCCCAGGAATGGGGTATACAGTGTGACATGGGCTCCATCTTCTCCCAGAAGTAAAACTGTATGGAAAACTCTGGAAAACCAGTTTTCTCCTGAATTCAGAGTCAAGATTTATAAACCCAATTATCATTTAAAGCCTTAGTAAATTAATATATTTACGTCAGGACTTTAAAATTAATTAGATTATTCAATATTGGTCTTCAATATTCAGGTGTTTAAGCCTTTCACTTTTAAAATAATCACCTGTGGTGCCTATAATAGAAGTTCAGATTTTAAATTGCATTTTTCTTTTAACTAATACTACCAACATATGCTACAAAACTGGAATAAACTTTTATTTTTTAAAGATTAGAAGTCATTTTATCAGTCTTAGAGGACATATGCAATTTGCTTTATCCTGAAGTAGTCCTCAGCAAGTAAACAAAGCCCATACAGTTCCTCCTCCAGGCAGCAGGAGAGAAAATGGCCTCCTTTCCCAGCACTTTCCCTTTCCCAGTTTCTCCTAAACTCTATGATGTCACACCAGGCCATCCCAAAGTGTTCACACAGGACGCCAACAAGGTTATACTTCCCAGACTTTCTAAACGTTTGTTCCATTTCAAAAATCTACAGCAAACACCCGAAGCTTAACAGAGCAACCTGGGGCCAAATATCTGTCCACATTAGGCTTCAGTGACCCTTTTACATGGCTGCTTTTCTGTCCAGAGGTTAGAAGGTGTTTGCCCGAATCATCAGTGCCAGTACCTCCTCAGTCCAGAGAGTCTATGAATTGCTGACAGCAGGGACTGCTTCCTCATTAGCATTGGAGAGCTGTGTGCAGTAGTGGGGAAGCCTGAGTATGCAAGTGTTATCTCCCTGCCACCTTTGCCCAGTGTCCTTGGCCAACAGCCTACCATTTCCTCGACCTACCTGTTACTCAATCCCAGAATAGGGGCTGGACTAGGAATAAGATATGACCTTGGACAAATCATCTTTGCAGTCCTCAAATTACTTTGTAGGGTTGTGGAGAGAATCAATTCAAATCATTCATTCATTCAATACTTTTGTGGATGCATTCTGGACACAGGATTTGCGGAATGCTGCTGTGTAAAAGGTCTACACATGCACGCGAATTTCTTGGAGTCTTGAAGCCCTCGAGTCCACCCCCGGACCCCCGCGCGCGTCAGGGTGCCAGGGAAAGATTGTGCCCCATGCTTCACCAGGATCCGCAGCCGCCTGAGAAGGCTTGGTTACAGTTGCTGGAACACACCAGGCATCTAATTTAATAACCCGTCCCCGAGTAACTAAATGTTCACACCAGAAAGGGGATTTTGCACGGCCGGATCGTGGAGAGCACAGCGTGGCGAGCACAGCGAGCAGCGGACAACCGACCCGGGTCCTCGCACTGCACTGGGTGACCTTGAGCAAGTCGACCCCATCCCTCCCCGTCCCCCCCTCCCGCCCTGGGCCCAGTTTCTCGACCGCAAAATAAACTGCCGGGGAGACGACACCCATGGTCCCGGCCTTCTCCGGAGGGCACGGCTGAGAGCCGGGCAGCCCTGCTGGAGGGGCGCAGGCCCGGCCCTCGCAGCCCCCACCCGAGCCGCCCCAGCCCGCTGCGCACCTCGCAACGCCTGCCCGCCGCGCTTCGCCTCCTCGTGCCCGGCCGGGCTCAGGTCCGCGTCGTACCAGCCGCTGAAGCGGTTCTCCAGGTTCCACGCACTCTCGCCGTGCCGGATCAGCACCAACTTGTAGGCGGCCATGGCGATGGCTGGGAAGACGGGCGCACTGGGGCTCGCCGAGATTCCGGAGTCACGGCCCGGCCCCCGATCGCGCCTGCGCACTCGCGCCACTCCGCCCGGCTCGCGCGCACTTTCTGGCCCAAATCTTTGCACTCGCGGGGGCCGCCCTCCGCCCGGCCGCTGTGCGCGTGCGCCGCGGCCGGCCCTGCGCGCCGGGGGTGGCAGGGCGCATGCGGCCTGGGCCGGGGGCCGCGCGTCCGCCGCGCTGGTCACGGAGCGCACGTACTCGCCGAGGGCGGGGGAGCCGGCCGGGCGCGCGGGGGCGGCGCGCCTGCCCCGGCCGCGGGGCCGCCCTGCCGCGTGGAGCGCCGGCCGCCGCGAGCCGCTCGTCGCGATGAAACGGCCCGTCCGCGTGAGCCGCGCCGAGGCCCGCGGGTCACTTTCCCAGCGCCCCGAGTTTGAGCCCGCGGCTGCGTTGTAGCTTTCGCTCAGGCCGCGTCACCTCGCCCGGCAGCCTCTGAGCGGACCTGAGCCCTGAGTTGGTGCGTGTCTGCCTGGCAGGTGTTGGGTGAAGACGTGTTACTGTCGCTCTCTCGTTCCTGTGGACGCCGGACTGGCTGGCCGCCCGTCATCTGAGGCAGGGCTGCCCATCCCTGTCCACACACCCTCGGTCAGGCCCTCCCGGGCCTCCCACCAGCAGGGAAGCAGACGCGGGGCCCCTTCTAACAGTGCAGAAAGAGGGGCGGCCACCGCCTCTGTGCCCCCTTGCAGGGTGTGTGGTTGTCAGGCTTTTCTGCCCTCCCACCATTAGGGTGCCCTGCCTGATGGGGCACCTGCAGTTGCTGCGTTGGTGTAAGCTGTGTTGCTTACTTCCGTGGGCCATGGCTCGGTATTGAGATAGTCACCAAGAGAAGCAGAGGCAGGAGAGAGACAGAAGGGAAGAAAGAAGGCCAGAGAAGCCCAGAGTGGAGGCTTGGGGCCCTGCCCCCCTCCTGGCCCCCACCCCACCCCACCTCCACCTCCACCTGCCGTGTACCTGGTTGCTGCACTATATGTAAAAGCTCAATAAAAGCCTGAGAAAGCCACAGAGGGCTGCAGGACTCCTTTACTTCTGTCTGCTTGAATGCTGGAATCATAAAGAACCAGCTCTGTGGCCATCCTGCCCCTGCACCCCTACAGCCAATCAGCAGTTCAAGTGTGTCCTTATCCAGACAGCTCTCTGCTACCCTTGCTGCTCTCCCAGTATATTTCAAGCCAGCCATTTCATCGAGCTCCAAACTTAAGCGAGGCCCCTGGGCTAGGGTGAAAGAGGCTAAATGTGTTTGCTGCCTTTCACAGCAGGTGGAGTTTGAATAAGGGCCACATGTAAACAGTTAACAATGAAGTTGTGCTGTGTGCTGTATTTTGAGATTCTAGAAAAGTTTTTAACATACACTCAAAACAATTGCTATGTACCAGGCAGTGTACTAAATCTTTTACAATCATTAACTCATTTAATTCTCATATCTTTGTAATAATCCTATGAGGTAGGTAGATCATCTCTCCATTTACTGGTGAGGAAACTGAGGAATGAGGTAGTTTACTCAAGGTTACAGGAATTAGAATTCAAGCCCAAGCCAGATGGCTCCCAAGAGTCCATGTTCTTCCCTGCTATTCTCCGTGTCCTCCACATTTTGGTGCATGTTAGGCAATTGTTGACTTCGAAGAGTAGGAAGGATTTGAGAGGTAGAGAAAAGGCGCTTTGGACACAGTATGAACCAAAACACCTAAGACTGATTTGTAGATAAATCACTATTTACAAATAGCAGCGTTTAGTGAGAATTTATAGTGTGTGGAGTATTTTAATGCATTATCTCAAGCAATTCATATAACCCTCGTACTTTTGTAGCTCCATTCCAGATGAGGAAACCAAGGGCCAAGGTCACAATTACAAGGTGCAGGAGAAATCAGAACTGAATCCCAGACAGTCCACTGACCTACAGTGAGCTCTAACCACAATGCTGCTCTGCCTCCATGCTCTGCAGCCAGAGAGGTGACTAGAATGAGGTCCAGCACTAAAAATTGCACCTGGAATTCAGGATTCTGGGGCTGCAACATGAGCACTGCCTCAGAGGCCTTCTTGTTCAAGTGTTTGGGGTTGGCCTACCTGGGTGTCCTCGAAAGACTCCCTTTGAGGAAGCTCTCCTGCTGGTCATTCCTACTGTTTGTCATTCATTCCTAATGTCCAGGCCCTTCCAGGGAGAGCTTTTCCAGCCTTAACCTTCACCTTTCAGGATGCACTTTTTGTCCTCCTGCCTTGGTCCTAATCCATGCTGCCAGTCAAATTCCTATCTCTCTTTTTCCTCCCCCAGGCTTCTGCATGTGTCCCAGATTTCTGTGCTCTTGTCCAGTCAAGGTTCACATGTCTCCAGTAATTAGGAAATGTGATTAGGAAGGACCCCAGTACAAGTATGTTTCTGTTTCTGGTTACCTGCGAACCAAAGAGGTCACTCAACTTATCCTGTTTCCTCATCTGTTTGCTGGAGCAATAATCAATCATACCATCTAAAGCATAGTTGGGAGTAATAAATGAGATGAGGCATGCACTTATAACTGTGCCTAGCAAATAGTCATAAATAATGATAATAAACCTGTTACTAATATAATGATGAGGTTAAATGAAATAAATTAAACTGGGTCCTGGGACGCCCCAACTACTGGCAATATTTCCCGTGCTGCAGCTGCCCCCAACAGCACCATCAATACCCTATACACCTGCAGAAAACAGGATGTACCCAGCACTTGCTACCCCAGCACTTGCTAAGTGAGCAAAGAGAAACACACACAAAGGAAACTCACGTATAAAGCTGGAGTCCAAGTGCTGGCTGTTACAGATAACCAGTGACTTATGCAGTCTGCCTGGCTTCTGCCCTCTCCTCCCTTGGGAAGTGCTTTCGATAAACTTTGCTTTACTTCTAACTTTTCAGGCTCTGTGGATTCTTCCATAACCTGCACTGAGTGAACCTAGACCCCTGCCACCACATCACATACTAACAATAAATACTACTCGCAATATGACTAAGACAGCAAATAAGATTTGTTTTAAGATTTTGTTTATTTTTTGTAGAACTAGGGTGTAGGCAGAGGTGCGGGTGATGAGAGGATTCCTCAGAGAGAGAGAGAGTAGGGAGCAGAGTAGGCAGATTGACTGAAATACACTGCTGAAGGGAGCAACGGGTGAGACAGGAGAGGTCTGCTGTGCCATGTGGGCTGCTCCCTGCCTGGGATAGAACTCAGGCCGTTGTGGGTCCCAGTTATGATGATAGCGCTGAGACTTAAGCTCTGTGCCAGCAAATAAGATTTAATGAGGGACAACCATCGAGAGCATGTGAGTCGGAGGGGGGGGTACATGGACAGACTTCCCTCTCCTGAGATGCCTGGCAGGGAATAGCTTGCCACTGGGTGTGGAATTGAGCAGATAAGTAGGATACTTTGTGTAGGAGGCCAAGGGCACCGGGCGACCAGCCTTGAGAAGGAGCTTGGGAACACTACTTTATTCTCTTCACCAACCCCCTCTGCCTCCAGAAGGAATCCCTCATCTCCTTGGAATTCTGAAACTCTCAAAACTTGATATACCTCCCTTACAGGATACCCACCTCTGATCATCTGAGCTGATGTATGCCTCAGATCTACTCAACTAGGAACTGTTTGAGGATGGGAACCACATTTTAACTCTTTTATACACACATACACACACACACACACACACACACACACCCCACACACCACACACCCCTTGATGCCTTTTGCCCATGGTTGCCAGCTAAAAGCTGGGAGAGACTTTGAAAATTCTCCACTGCAAGTCCCACCTTCTGGCATCCCCCATGCTCATGAAGAAAATGATGTAAACCATTACAAAGAGCAGGAAATGAGCAGAGGATCAGGTTCATCAGAAGTCAAGAAGGATCCATGGGGAAGGGGCTTGCCGTGTCAGGAAGAAAGAGGCAGGGGGCCTGGAGAGATTTGGAGAGCGGGGTGGAGAAGGGATCACCTTAAAATCTTTGTAGCTGGAAGCTAGAATTCCTGGGCAGAGAGAAGGATCGATTCAGCATCTGTCACAAAGTCACAAATCTGGGAAGAAACTAGAGCCTATGACACCAAGGGCATTCTGGTTGGACATTCTCAAATTTTTTTTTTAAAGATTTATTTTTTATTTATACAAGTGCTGGGGCACAAGCCAGATGCTTGGGAGGGTGAGAAGATTCACCAGAGACAGAGCAGGGAACAGAACAGGCAGACTGACGAAACACACTGCTGAGGGGAGCAGCGGGCAAGACAGGAGAGGTCTGCATGCCATGTGGGTTTCTCCCCGGCTGGCCGCCGGGATGGAACCTGCGTTGCAGAGGCTGCAGACAGCTTCACAGTGCAGTGCTCAACCCGCCTGCTCCATCAGGGAGGCCCTCTACTATTTTTTTTATTAATATTAAATCTCAATTGTTATCTCTGTTGAGCACAAGATACAGAGACATTTGTCAGGGCTGATTCCTGGGCACTTCTGAAAAAAATTGGGCAGATGCAGCCAAGCATTTATTCCCCCTGAGAAGAGGGGGCGGGGGCAGGGGCTCAGATCAAGCAGCCAGAAGGACCCTCCGCTGCTCCTGAGCAGCTCACCCTCCCTCTCTGCTAGGCAGGAAGCAGTTGTGGCCAGGGAAGTCCCTCCTCATGCCAGGAGTGTGGGATGGGGAGCTGCACCCCCAGAGCCTTCTTAGCTGTCGTCTCCTGTGCCCGGGCCTTCCTCTCACCCAAGCCTCCAGCAGCTCCAACTCCTGAACTCTGGGTGCATAGCCTTTCCTAGTGTTGCACTTTAACCTCAGGCCTCAAGGAAATTCCCAGGACTGCAGCACCTTTCAAACAGCCAGCTTGGTGGTTAAGCTGTCACAACAATAAGGATAATTAAACAATTATCCGATAAGGATAATCAGTGGTCGCTGTTATCCTCCCTTGTCCTGTAGGACAATGAAAGCCTCTCTCAGCCTTTCCTTCCCATTCATTTTTTTTAATTTTTTTTTTTTATAGAGGCATGTTTTATTTGTTTGTTTGTTTGTTTGTTTATACATGCACTG